TGTACGTACATATCATTGCTTTATTAGCTAAACGTGTTTAATGAATTGTTTATGTAAATTCATGTATTTATATAGAATTGGAAAATATCTTAATAGATAACTTCCAGCTTATTAACACTCAAGGATAATACAAGATTCCTTTTGTTTATTAAAACAGTTCTTTTGTGGAAGAGTCGTTGCTTTTCTAATAACAACAATTTGTATACAAAGTTCCATTGAGTATTGACAATCGCCATTATTAACATGCTTTAGGATAGTTTATGTGATATATCTTTATTTATTGTTACCTGCAATTTATAGATGATGAAACTCCAAAATACGAACGTCAAACGAATAATTTAACACGTGTCAAATTATTTACAATATTTAATATTAAAAATTATAAGATATTAAGTTTATATACTATGTTATATATTGTGTACTTTGCTATTAAATACATTACTAATAAGAATGGTAATAATAGGTTTGTGTCTATAGGCTATAGTGTATTTTAGGATAGATAAACATTATTATAAACACGTTGGGACTCAATCTACATCTCTATCATCGAATGAGATTATTCTCAACTTGTAAAATAATTGGGTCGTTATCCCTACAATAACAACAACAAAATCTGTCCACTGTTTTTTATCAACGACATTATCTAATCCAAAATGATAACAAAAGGTTGTTTTGTTGTATATATACAAAGGAAGCCCTTGATGTTGTCACAGCGCATGCTCTTTGAGTTTACACTACACTGAAAATTAAAGTACCAGCGTGACAATATGCACTGAATTTTGTCTATTTGTTTGTATATTGGGACATTTTGTCTTTGTCGGCATGTTTTCTGTATGCTAGCTATTTTTTTCCGTGATGTCTGTACGATATCGATCGTGGAATGCTGTTGACAGTGAAATGGGTTGAGAAATTAATAAAAGTCTTTCGTTATGGGACAAGTATACGCATACTCCGCATTTTTGGGTTGGGAGTTTTTTCGGTATCTCCCTTGCTCGTATGACCCGAATAAATAATCCAACACATAAAATTTACGACGTTTTCCAGTCATTTCAGCGTTTGAGTACCGAAAGTAATTTGCCCATAAAATTACGAGTAAACAGCCGTTTTTCTAAGGAAATAAAACCATCCAGCGCCCTGGTAGACGGGAGCGGGCGCTTGACTTCTGTAATCGGCTTATACTGAACCCCTCTGATTTAGGAGTCGTCACCCGGGACAGGGTGATGCACCGCCCGTTACATTTTGATGGGAATCCTTATCTAAAGATTATGAAATCCGTTGCGGGCAATTGGGGCTGTACTGTCTAGATTAGATAAACTTTTATTACATTTACAAATAATGTTCGAATTGAGTTTTCTTTTAATATTTAATAATTGAATTATTTATTAATTAAAGTACTTCCTCAAATAAATTACTGTATCAGTGATCTTATTATTATTATTTCTTGTAATTATTTATATTTATAATAAGTTTACTATTGTAATCTTTTGGAGGAAACAATAAAGAGTATCTATCTATCTTATTGCAGTATACAAAATTTATACATTATTACAGAAATTCCAATTCTAAATCGTGAGATATTACGGTTTTAAATTGAAAAAAAAAAAATTGAATTTATTATTTGTTATTAAGAAGGAATTATAAAATATTTTATAGATATATACCTACATGATTGTATTATAGAATTACATGACATTACATTACATTGTGGGTTAGTTAAAAGTAATATAATTAATATTACTTTTGACCTAATTAGATTAAGGTTATCACATAAGATTTCACTATCGCACCGCTCGCTATCGGCAGGGAATCTATTCTTACACTTTAGAACCAAAATGGTCACGCACAGTGCGGTTTTAGAAGAGCAACCTCCAGCGAGCATTCAAATTGTGGAATGATCTTCGTGCCGAGGCTTTCCTTAGAGACTATAGCATGGGGTTCTTCAAAAAGGGCGTATTAAGGTTTCTTAAGGGTAGGCAACGCGCGTATGGTTTTACGTAACATAGGCTACGGTAACCCTGTTTATCATTAGACGGGCCGTATTCTTGTTTGCCACCAAAGTAGTATAAAAAAAAACCCTAAAATGCTGTATATACACTCATTAGTAGCCGAGATTGTACATTGTCATCAATAAAAAGCATAATTCTGTCAGTGTTTCTTGACAATCGAATATAAACGTTTCGTATGACATCTAAGGTACGATACAAATGGAAGTCTTGGAACAGGCAGTGGTAAGAAAAAGTGCTGGTTGTACGGTTAATATGGCGAGCTCTAATCTCGTCGTGGCACAAAGGAGCTGCCATGACGCGGCGAATATTCACGCAAACCATTTAATATTTAGGTATTACAATATGCAGTTGTACTTTCGGATACACAAGTATTTGAAATAATTTATAAATATATATTGTTTTTAAATTGGTAATCGTCAAATATTACCTTATATCTGAGCTGCGTTCTAAATTAAGAAACATATTTTTTTTTTTCACTTAGAGAATCGCAAACAAAAAGGCTATTCTAATTATATTGTATTACAAAAATGCTTTTACTCTTCGACAATAAATATTATAATAAATGCCTTTACCTTACCTGTATCGCCATTTAAGGCATTTTCAGAGGTTTATTTATATTTGTTTTAACATGAAATCAATTGAAGATTGCAATTTAAATTCTTAAATTATTCTTTTATGTGCTGTACTTATACAGTATATAAATGATATCTAAACATTTGAAATGATGTATAATAAATAAATATAAAAGGAGTGAATATTTATCACACTATTCTAGAGAAATAAACTATTTAGTATCTAATTAATTTTATATTAGCATTAAATAGAAATAATTGTGGTGTTGGTTTCAATTCTTTGGCTAAGAAGTCTTTTATTCTGCTATATCAGTCATAGATCTTATGTCTAGTTGAAGTTAAATCTTCTCCTGCGTCCTATCCAGGAGTCACTTTTTAGGAATTTAAGTGTACATAAAATTTTTTGATATTTTTAACTATCAAGTACGAAGAGTGTCTTATTTTAAATTGATGTGTCCAGAGTAATGGTAGAAAAATATCTCTTTAAACATGTTTGGAGTGCGACTGTCCAGGAAAAGCTGGTATAGTCACTTACGATATTAAATCGGACAATAAGCTGCGCCGCTGCAGTCACGATAATCTTTGGTAGGTAGTATATATTCGATTTGGTTATCAAGAACCGAATATTCGATGTCTCGAATAGTCCAACTCGTAATGTTTCACGACGTCACTAGGTACATACTTTTTGTCTGATAAATGACATGACAAATTAATGGTTTTATTATGAGTCAGATTGGTTCGCTCTTTTATTTTCGTGTCGGGTCAGGACGAATGCATTTTTAATTGAGTGAGGCACTTTTGTAGACTGTATAAAACGGCCACCGCATGCCGTGGATATTTTTTATTTGATTGACGGGTAGTAATGGGCAGGTGCGTAGAGACGTCGGCTATAGCTACCTCGCTTTTTCGTATCGACGTTCCGAAATTGTTTTTGTGTGTCGCGTCGTTTTGCGACTGGCATACACTTACTAGCGTTTTATACCGATTGTTGTACGAAACGTTAATGGGGTACTAAATTTCGTTGTAATACCATGTCAGTGTATGCATTTTTTATACAAATTAGTTATGTTTGTCCTCATAAATTTACAACAAATTTCAGCAGGTGCTTTTTTAAATAATTATCGTGAAGTATTGAAGTTGGCGGTAAACAGCAAACAATATACAAACCTCCAAGTTAATACTAAAATAAAATACTATTAATAACAAAATTAATAATTTAAAAATTGTATTTGCACTATCTATAAATCTTTGTAATATTCTCTTTGGTATTTAACTTCACATTAATTAATAAGAACAAAGCTGTTTACTTATATATGCAGCGTTCATTAATCATATCTAATATTTTCTTTATTTATATTATTACAAAACAAGCACTTGCATGTGATACTTACTCGACTGTTATAATTAATTAAAGTATACTAATAACAAAATAACTTATACCTGCGACTTGGTTTGTTTCATTTCAACCTTTTTACTCATTTTCATAAACCTTAATAAGGGGAGTTTTGCCAATAATTTCCACGCTTAGCAGGCGAATTGGCAACTACAGTTAGGCTTTTAGAGATGTTTTAAGACAGACGCTGCTTTTAATCTCTTAACTATTAATCTCCCTTAGTCGCCTCTTACGACACCCACGGGAAGGGAAGGGGTTGCTTATTCTATGCCGGAACCACACGGACACTTTAGTGATAAATTTGTTATATTCTCAGTCCTTAGAACTACTTTATGTTTTTTTTTCTTTTATTTAAATATTTCTGCTCTCTCAAGTTGTTTAGACATTATAGTATTGCGATCTGGTATTTGGTTTATTTCATCCTTATGAGTAAATTTAAATTAAATTAGTGAAGCTTACCATGTTGGATTTAAATAAAATGTCGAGTGTTACCTTCGTTGCAACAGTAATTTTTTTTTATGATAATTACGAAGAGAATGGCAATAAGCAAGTTGACGTGCCGCCTGGTGGAGGTAGCAATTGCAAACATTGCAGAATAGACTGTGATGCTCTTCACGCATTACTATTCCAGAAGACTAACATCATCATAAGCCTTTAACTGTCTACTGCTGAAGATAAGCCTCCCCTTGGTGTGTTTTGGCAGTAGTTGCCACGCTTGGCAGGCGGATTAACAACTGCAGTTATGCTTTGGATTTGTTTTAAGAGGGACGATGCTGCTTATCTCTCGTCTTTTCTTACTCGCCACCCACGGGAAAGGAAGGGGTGGTCTATTCTATGCCGAGACTATACGACAAGTCCTTCGTATATTTTCACTGTCATACTTAAAACCGAAACAGTCATGTGAGTTTGACAAAGAGTAGAATGGAGGTGTCTAAACAGTTGACTTAATTGACAAATTGTCCTGAATGCTCCATCAGAGATGATAGTCGTGTTTATATTTATTAATTCTATTTATTTTTTTATTCACAGTCACTACAGAGTGCGGCGCGGCGAGCGGGTACGTCGTGTGCGAACTGCAAGACGACGACCACGACCCTGTGGAGACGTAACCAAAACGGGGAGCCTGTGTGCAACGCGTGCGGACTCTACTACAAACTGCACAATGTAAGTGCACTTATATACATTTTATGTGTGTCATTTATAACCGAAACGTGCATTTAAAATTGTTGCTTTCGTCTATTTATAAGAAGAGATATTCTACGCTAACTGTCTCGTGGCTTCACTGACATAAATCAGTATATTAAGGTATAACCTGGTCGTGTATTCAATTTCACTCAAATCCGTCCAGTAGGTTTTGCGTGAAAGAGTAACATACATACATGTTCACAAAGTATCGTATTTATAATAGTAGTAGGTTGGGTTCTTTATCGGTAACAAATTTATTATAATATTAATTTATAAAAATAAAAAAGAATTGCTGAATACTTTATAAGCACTTTTTTATTTCATACATGTACGCCGGTATCTTTTTTTATACCACGAAAGTGACAAACAAGCCTGATGGTAAATGATCAGTGTAACCTATGGACGTCTGCGAATAGGGGTATCATGTGTGTGTTGCTAACCCTGAAGAGAAGAATTTTAATCCACCTTTAAACTAAACTCTCAAACAGTATCTACTACTACTACTATTAGTTCGATATTTACCTGTTAAATCAAAACTAAAGTAGATTGACACCATTCTAAAAGTGATTTAAAGACTCTTAAATACTCCCCCTCGAGTTCGCTAACTCCTATTCCCGAGGGCTGATTCCCCCGAGATGAGATGACAGTATCTTGGTGACAGATAACTCGGGGTCCGCGCTCGCCCCGCAGCCGTCTAATGTGTCATAAAACCAAATACGATTGCCTCAAATGAATTACGACGGGATGAGATACCATCGCTAAATGTTAAATGAAAGATGGTATCTACTTGTAACAGCTAGGATTAACTTTCGCAATTCTAATACCTGATATTGAGTTGGTGATTTTTGTATATATTTACTTAGATAACATCCATCTAATTAGATACTTGATTAAGTATTGCATTGCTCTTTATTTAAATAGGTTAATGTGAGCAAGTACGATTTCTGTCTACTTTCGGCAAAGTTTTTCAATTTAGAGTTTTCAGTAACGTTAATGTGTCAAGAAAGTATTTTATAAAATGCTTTCTTTTATATTTGAGGGACATTGGCTGTTCTGGGGACTCGAAGATGAAGGCACAGTAGACAGGTTTACGAAGTAATGGACAGGGGTCACAGTTGCTGAAAATCATCTAGATGCCGCTGTTATCTATTCTCATCATAAACCAGTTTGTTGAATCATCCATTAAATGTTCATTCCTGAAGCAGTGGACATTTAATGTCTTCCCTTATAAGGGAGGTTTTGTTAGTAGTTGCCAAGCTTGGTAGGCGGGTTAGCAACTGCAGTTTGGTTTTGGGTCATGTTTTAAGAGAAACGTTGCTGCCTATCCCTCCACCATAAGCTCCCTTAATTGCCTTTTACAACACCCACAGTAAAGTAAGAGTTGGTTTATCCTATGCCGGGACCTACGCGACTGAAATAGCATGGTGAAAAAATATTACTTACTAAAGTGTAAGCGACTACGTATTAAAAGTTTAACTACCGAAGTGTATAGATACAAAATTTTTAGGTAGTGGTTTCTAAACAAATTCATTTAAATTAAAAGAAAAAAGTATTAATCTATATCGTTAATATATTATTTTAATGCGGTGTACGTAACGTGTGCCGTTTTTAAAGTATAGTGGGTTTGGTTTGTCAGTAATGTTTATAAATGATCCTATTTAAAATTTGTGATTTCTATCATTATAATGTGATGATGTATCACCCTTTTGATATTTTAAATGAACCATAGTATCATTTAATATTACGTCATTCAATGTTCATGGTGGGAAATGGTAACTGCTTTCTATTAGGTGGGCCGCCATTTTTAGAAGAATACTCATAAAAAAATAGGACTACCGTACTTTCTTACGCTCAATTGAGTAACGAAACCTTTGTAGAAGTAGTGTAGAACTTTATTAATAGTTAGCAGGACAAGTATCTTTGTATTACTGTTTGGATAATATGTTAAAAGTAGAGGTAACATAGGATGAGTAAGTTATTTTACTTTAGATAAAGGAGTATTTTCTCTGACACTTATAACTATTTTGTTTAATTACTGTTGCCTTAACTTTCCTTATTCTCGATACACTTAAAACATTCTCACGCTTCTCACGACCCTGTCGCAAAACAATAAACAAAAACCCTCGCGACATTTCAGCAAGCGACGTGTGTATACGAAAAGTACCAACATTATAAAGCGAGTACGCAACAATGACAAAAATTAACTGTCGAAACGAAAGCGACCCTTCGTTGAGGGCTCTTGATTTTTTTTCTGTTGAAATGTATACTTTATTGCCGCTCCAAGCATCCGAGCGACAATGTTGTTTGCTCTAATTATTCGGAAGGAGCGACAAAGGAGCAAATGGGAGTGCCCGCTACTTCAGAAGACTTGGCACAATGACGGGTGCACAATACAGGAATGGCAGTAGCATTGTCAAGGGCACTGTGCCCGCCTTCTCATACATATTTACACGAGGTGTATCGTTATACACTCACATCTGATCGTTTTGTGTTCTCACATTAAAAGTTATAGATATAGACTACTCCATCTTTGAATACATAAAATTATTTTAAACGTGTGTGTAGATTTTATGTTGCTGTCATAGTATCTTTATGGTATATTAGACGATTTTCAAAATATCCAATATTTTTATAGTATCAGACTTAAATGAATCGAATTTAGCAAATATTATGTAGTCGATATTGAACAGTTTTCATTCTTTGTAGCATATTTTTTTGAAAATGTTTTAAAATTAATTATTTATTGCAAATTTACGTACGAATTGATACACTCAATGAAAAATAAGGTAACAAAGTAAGTAAATAAATACAATATAATAAGTACGGTCGGAGTTGAGGCGGATACTCTGATCGATTTCACTCAAAAAACGCAATTCATACAACAAAGCACGAGCGCATTGTGATTTACCGACGTCACCCTCGGCACGCGACTGCCAACTCTTGATACTAGAATATATCAAATATGTAAATAAGTAACCGTCAGTTTTTTTACAGTAAATATATTGCTAATAGCTTTCACCTTTTTGTGTAAATATTTATTAAAGCTGTATATTACTAATTTTGTACTATATTATTATTTTATTATATTTTTAAAAATATAGATACTCTTTGAGAATTATTTACCACCAGAGGGAGACTTTGTACAAAGGTCGATTGATTGGGTACCTCTGTCCCATTCGTGTTTCTACCGTGAAGCAGTTGTGTTTGCATGGCTGTGTTTCGGTTTGAAGGGTGGGATATGGCGTGAATTTACTGGGTACAGAGAAATAACACCTGAGTCCTCAGGAATGGAAACGCATGGGATATAACATGGGCGAAACAGTATACTCTGTTATGTCGATGGTACTGCTCATGTCTATAGGCGACGGTTACCACTTTCCATCAGGTGGGCCGTCAGCTTGTTTGCAAATTCTAAATACGATAAGAAAAAAGTAATCTTTACACAAATTTTTGACACTGAAAATAGAGTAAACTTAATCAAATTATATACTCATTCATAATGCAACCATGCAGTGACATTAATAACCTAATGTCTTTCTTACTATATATTTGTTCTTATACAATTTAATATTTTATTTTTCGAATAAATACCGACTTTAATTGTGGCAAATAAGTTCTTTTGAATTAAAATCAAAACTACTGAACTTTTTGTGATAAAATTTCTATGGGACTAATCTAAAAGTATTTTCCTTCAGTTGAAACAGTTTATTAATGACAGAGTTATGAAGTAACAAACATAAAAAATACAACCAAATAAGTACTTACTTTTTTTTTAAGACGGTTGAAAAGGATATGAAATCTAGATACAGAGTTTCACATTTACTGTAAATAAATAAATTTCAAATATGCCGTCTAACCAAAATGCTTTTTTCTTTTAGATGTAACCTTTGAAACTAAGTTTTTTAAATCTACGATCAAAATGCGTCAGTTGCCGTATTCTAAACGAACAATCTTCAAGTGTGTTTACCCAAAATATCCCATAACCCTCGATTGTGTGGATACAAATGCCCATAACATTTCAAATTGGCCTCATAGAGACCGTACATTGAGAGCCGACAAGGATCTTGTTCTTTTAGTCGTATTAACTATATTGTTTTTATTAAAAACATTTTTATGTCGGTTTCTGATACAGTTTGCTTGTTCGATTTGATTGATATGGGAATGTATTCACTCAGCATTATACGTGTAATGAATTACAATACTGATTCGAGCTTGAGAGCTAAATTTAGTCTTGATTTATTATTATGGTGACATGATTTTATTGTTATTTAATCATCTGAATATAAATAAGTTAGTGTTTTGTTTCTATTAAGTTTGTTCACGTTGAGTTTTGAAAGAACACATGAAGTTATTTCATATGAAGTGTTGGTGAATTTTATTATCCATAACCACACGGTGTTTATTATACTATCTTATAATTTTATCATGGAAATCGGACTTAATATGTAAATTATACGCACTTGTGATAAACCACAACTCAGAGGTTAGGAAAAAATGTCGTATATTAAAAGTCCTTTATCGTTTGCTCTTGTTTAATATCATCGACTTTGTTTAATTGAAGATAAAAAAATATAAGTAGAACAAATACATTTTGGTTACACAAAAAAATTGTCATATACGTATTTATCTAAAACAAATTACTAACCCAATAAATATAGTCATGCCCGATTTCCAATATTTTTTCTGTATTTATTTGGACTAAAATTTTTGTCAAATTATTTCACTCGTTTTCAAGACATGTGTTTATCAACGAACATAATTTTTTTTTGTCTATTTCTAAGGGCAAGGAGTATAACAAAAAGGGTACCTATCGTTTGTACTTACCCTGCTGACATTGTTCTATCTACCTATAATTTATTATGCAACTGGGAATGCAGAAAAGCTGGCGATACACCTGATGGAGTCACAAGCAAAAATCTTTCTTCATTCTTGCATTTTTAAAGCTTAAAATACTGGGAAGTTATTATATAAACATTGGA